TTTTGTACTGGGGATAATGCTCTGCTTAAGGCAGTGCCCTGACAGGACTCTCTGGGTGTGAAAAGGAAACCTGCAGAGATGTTCTCAAAGGGGCAGGGGTAATGTTTCTGTATATAACAAAGTGAAGAATGCTGTGTTTACAGCTCTGGGAAGAGGGTGAGTGACATGAAAAGGAGAGAACGGGGCTGGGAGAGAGACGCACCTGGTCACATGCCGAGAGCCTGACTTAATGAGAGGCATAGCCAGGGATTTGCAGGAACAACGCCATCCCAAACTTGTCTGCTGCTGTGTGCTCCAACGGCCACCTCCCCCTTCACCAGTACTCCTCCAACTGTCAGTAATACATAGTAATATTGTATTGTTGGGCTTTGGAGAAATGAAGGGAGTGTCCTGAGTGGGGCCAGACAAGCTGCCAAGAGGGTGAATAGCAGACAACAGAGCAGTGATGGTTAGAGCAGGGAATGTGGGGAACCGGGGTACAGGGCAAACTGACCAGGAGATAAGCTCTCCCAAGTCTCGTGGAAACAGTATGGAGGGCTAGGGAGAAACGTTTCACAGAACGTGGGATGGGAATTCCCAATATTTCACTTGGATATGATGATCCCTGCAGCCTGGTGAGCTTGGATCCTCTATTACCTACCTACTTATGTAGAAGGTAAGTTTATGACCATCTTTCTCTTCCCTTCTCTGTATTCTCTCCCCTCTTTCTTTTTTTTAAGAAGAATTAGTTAAGCATCTAAAACATCTTTAATTTCTATGTAGTTGAAAAGGCAAAGAGACACCAGTGCCCAAATACACTCATATCTTCCTCTCACACCCAAGAGAGACAGTGCTACCTCCCCTCACCCTGCTATTAGGGAAACAAGACGGTCAAAGAGGATCCGATCTCAATCCTTCCCACGTCCAATCCAGCCCAGTGGGGATTGCTTTTATTCACTATGGTCCATTCTGGTCTGCAACTCCCTCCAGCTTAACCAAGTCTCAGTATGAACCCTTCCCAAGCCTTAGACCTCGCTCTTCCTTTGCTCATCTCTGCCCTGACCCAGCCAGAACCCAGCGTGCCATTCACACACTGACCACAACACCGACAAGAATAGGCTCCTGACCACATGTGATAAGATCCTCAAACTCAACACTATGGAAACGTCTCTCCTCTAAAAATAAAAATCACAACTTCTCTCCTTCTGAACCTATTTTACTGGCCTTCCTCTCACTAAATTTTCCTGCCTTCAGGACCCATCATTTCCTCTGATTAATCCTTACAGCCCCTCAAGGCCAAGAGCCCCATCTCACCACCAACCCCACTCACCACACACACACACACACACACACACACCACCCTTCCCAGGGTCCAGCCCCTTCTCTGCCAAAGGAAGAGGGCCCCCCAAGAGTGACAAAGGCGCCTCTGTTTCCTCAGACCTGACAGCCCGGTCCCATGACCTGTGCCCGCTGACACACTCCCTCCTCATGGGGCCCAGCCTCCTCAAACCCACATCCGGGCTCTCGAGAGCAAGGCAGCCGCAGCCTGAGCCCCTGGAGGCCAGTCACAGTTCTTCCTTCCGATGCCCCAGCAAGAGAGCCCTTTTCCTCCGTCCATGCTGGGGAGCTGTTTAAGGGGCGCACGTGTCTAAGGCTAGTCCAACCAGGCTATGTACTCCATCCTTTCCTTGGGCATTGGGATCAAACGACATCCTTAATTTCTTAAGAGTCAGCATTTGTCTAGCATCCTCTCATCACTATGCATTACTTTGCAACTTTTCAGTTTCCACATCTCCCCAGAAGCATGCAAACCGTTTGGGAGTCAAGGAGAGAATGCGCACAGTACCCGCTCTTTACACAACCCTCCGGGCGCCCCTTCCCTGAAGATGAGGCACCTTATGGTCACGTGCTCCTGATGACCTTCCAAAGAAGCCCTGCTGGCACACCTCTACCCACTGGTGCCTTAATGCCCTGAGTTTTGTCCATTTTCTCTCAAATTCTTCATTCCCAAGTGCCCTGACTCAGAAGTTGCGAGAGAGAAACTCCAAGGCGTGGAAGGAGGAAAGTGCTTGAGCCCTGGGGTGGGATTCGGGCTCATCAATCCTTCTACCCCAAGACAGTTGGTTCCATTCAAGGATAGCACCGTTCTCAAGAGGACAGCACCTAGGGGAAACGCCCTGGGTGGGACCAGCTGCCTCAGAAAAACCACCTCCCTGACCCCTGCTCATTGATCCCACTGGTACCTGCTTTCCAAGTAGCTCCTACTTCATGCCCCCAAACCAGTCGCAATTTAAAACTCTTTAGGAAGAAATTAAATAACTATTCTCCATTGGAATAATACAGAAGATCACACTTACCTTTTGCCAAGACTGGAACAGTTGTTCAAGTGTTCCCTCCCACCCACCCCATGCCAATTGCATTTGAATTACTTTGAAATACCATCTGGGAGAAATCATCATCACAAATATTTAAGGTTCCAATTCATAAAAAGGCAAAGAAAGAAAACACACACATACACCCTGTGATTTGGGAACTGTCCAGAGAGCATTCCTAAACACCCTCAAAACACTTGCTGGCTCCATCTCATTCCTCCCCCAACAGTATTCTACCTTGTCTGCACGAGTCTCAGTGAGAAAGGAAAAGAACAAAGTGAAACTTTCCTAAGAACTCAGGTGAGAAGGACGATGCCTATGCTCACTGCTTCTTCAGTGGCACAAGGAGGCCGGCCGGAGGAATCATTCAAAGTAGAGTCAAACCTATGGGGTGCGAGTCCACGCGTCTCAGATCCCTGCACCCTATGCAGAGCTAGAACGGGTCACTTACCTGCAAGCTGTTACCAGGGGGACTGGGTCTCCCAGGCCTGGTCTGCATCTTGTGAAAGTTACATACCTCAGAAGGTTAAAGCTCAGATCAAGCCTCTTGGCGAAATGTCCACAGTCCCTGCCGAGGTGCTCTGGAATTTCTCTGCAGTCCTGGCCTATGTAGGACACCTGGAAGTTAAATGGAACAGAAACACTGTGGCAAACGGAAATCGCCCAGCTGCTCACAGCCCTGAGTCATTGATCCGATGATTGCTTCCGCAACTTTAAAGGCAAGCTCCACACACACACACACACACACACACACACACACACTCACAGAATGCCATATCTGTGGCTGTTTTTTCTGATCAGATCAGCTTTGGGGGCTGCAGGGGACTCCTGCCAACAGCTCCCCCTTTCCTGGTACACTTAGCATGATGAAGACGAATCCCGGCACAATGGAAATTGGACTAAAATTGGCCGGATTCAGATGTCCAAAAAAAAAACAAAAAAAAACCCAATGTCAGAGCATGGCGATATAATCACAGCAATCAGCCTCTCGTTCAGGGGCCTTTCCAACAGCTGCCCCTCTGGCTCTCCTCCTCCACTGCCTCCCCCCCCCCCCGCCCCAAGTACCCTGTTATGCACATTACCTCATAAAGATACAGCAGATGCACTTACCAGTATTCAACCTGCATGGTGCTGAACAAATAGGGTTGGACAAGCAAACCTTCCCAGACCGCCAATCCCATCTTATTACCACTGTGTATCAAATGTCCGCCTCGCTCTGAACAAAGCTGATTCAAAGGCAACAGGGCAATGACTCCAAGGAGCCTCTTGCCATCACCACCTCTCTGCTTGCAGAGCTGTGCCCCGAGGCATTGCTTTATTTATATTATTAATCTAGTGTGTACCCAAATATTAAAAAGCTGGAGTAAAATCTGACCCTAAAACTTCTGACTATGACAAGGTCAGAGGGTTTCTCACTGCTCCAACCACCCGGTTTTTGAACCCATTTTTACAGATAGCACTCCGAGGGCAGGTTTGGCAAATCATTCCAAAAACCATAAAACAAGCCTGTAGGTCAGAGTTGGCCAGTGAGTCACGATACATGATGTTTCCCTAGAGGACTCCAGGTAGAATTCTGCCAGGTAGAAAGTCTGGCCCATCACACAGCTATAACCTTGATCCTTCTCCCACCTCCTGCCCCACAAATACAGTCTTCTACGCATACAGACAACAATATCTTGGAATGAGTAAGAGATTCCCCAGGGGGTTATGATTCCTAATGGGGAAACAAAAATATGGTGGACATCTCAGATATTAGGTTTAACCATATGAATTACTAATATTCAATCATTTTAGAACTACAAAAACAGCACTTTCCTATGGCTGAACCTAACACAAATCACACTTCACCCTAGCACCCTCAATGTTTCAAGTCATCTCTCCATCCTCTCCTATCCAATGAGTACAAACTGCTGACAATACAATATCCTGTATTCACACTCCTTCAGTAACTTCATTCCTGGAAGAGAGAAAGTAGGGAGAAGGGACAGAAAACTAGTTGACTCTAATAAAATACTTTTGACTCGGGAAAATACAGGCTAAAAAAAAATAAAGTGTTCTGAGTTCCATCTAGCAAGCTCTCCTCTTTCTACATGGGACTCATCTTTCTTCAGAATTCCTTGTGTAATAAATTAACTTCAGCTTCCGAGCCAAGATGGAACTCATGCAGCAAGGAGAGACTAGGGATATAAAGCTCAATCAAAAAATAATAATAAAGGTCAATCAATCTACAGACTTCAATTTCCCTCCGGATGTCCACTCGATCAGCAGCCTGTTCTATAAGTTCACATTGATCCCCAGGCCCATGGTGCTCACCATAAAACCCATCCCGTTCACCCTGGCATGCACTACCATCTTGTACATATCATCATCATTCAAGACCTCTGATATATATATGGCAGAGAAGCTGACAATTAGATGTAGAAACTGAGCTCTTTTCTCATAGACCCACCAAGGAGTAAATCTGGTAGGGACCTGGTTTGTCAAAACCCCTCATGTTTTAAACAGGGAAACTAAGACTCCAGACACCTGCCCAGTATAATAGAGCTCCTTAGTGATAGAGCCTGGACCATGTCCTGCACCAGGAATAAGGACTTCCAACTTGGCCATGGAGTTCTTACAAATCCACATGTGGCTTTTCTTCATCAACAAATGTCAATGGCACATCTGTCATATGTTTTGACTTCAAATTGAGTCTTCCTAACTAAAAGGTCAAGAACTACCTCATGACAGCATGTTGAAGGCCCCAGAAGAGTGTCAGACGCTAGGAAAAGAAATGGATATTTGCTCCCCTTTTTCCTCAGTAGGATTTCCTTTCAGACGAAACAGCAACACTAAGGAGAGCTATCACCACAAAGCATTTGAATCATTCACAATGTGTCTGACAAGACTTTCATAACAGCTGGTTTTATTGCATGGTCTTAACAGCACAACATCCGAAGAAAATTAAACAAAGCACAACTTGCTCCCATTCTACAGTGACAAAGACCAAGTCTCCAGAAGTTAATAGGAAAACCAACTTGACAAGCCACCCTCAGGTAAACTGGAAGCTTTTAGAGATGCGAGTTAAACCAACCATGTTGAAAGGTTCAAATCAGCTGGAACAAGCTTAAAAGCAGTAGCCATTGTCAGGCACTGCAACCGACACTCCTAAGATACAGTTTAAGAAATGCTTCTCAGCAGAAAACATTACCTCTCAGGATGTCATGAAGCTTCTTGGAGCACACACCCACCTAATGTAAGACACAGGTCAGAAGAGCCAGACCAAAAATCGTTAGCTTCTTCAGCAAACAAGGAACGTAGAGATTAATCTTAAATGTCACAAAAGGGTATATCTAAAATGAGAAGTCATTGCATTAAGTCAATTATCTTGATTTAGACTAAACTGAGGAACCAAGTTTTATACTTTTAATTTGCCACCTTATATAGTTTGTACCCCAAAACTTCTACCTGTTGCGGCCAAAGGTAAACTGAGTGGGGGGGGGGGGGTGAAAGGATTAAGGAAAGACAGACAAGAGAATAATAGCTGGGTCTCGGTGGGACGCTGCCTCCCTGATGAGGAGACGACAGCGCCCACAAGCCAGTGTCTTTATTTTATAGCAGATGCCACGAGGCAAAGCAGGGGCGTGATCACGTTGTTTACAGCATTCTCGTGAGTTCCAACCTCACTCAACTACATGCACCTGAACTCTATCACAAGGCACATGGGGCTACGTGTTTGGACCATAGATTCAAGCTTACAACCACAGCCGTTGGCTATAATTGTGCTGGGAGGACCCTGCCCTCCAGCTGGGACTTGCACGTGGCAATGAGAGGACCCTGTCCTTTCATTAGTCTGAGGCTTGAACCTGGCCAAAACACCGTAACCACGCCCCACATCTACCCTGTGTGAAATGATAGCATAAAGGGACACCATTATCAGGGAAATTAAAACATATCAAGTTAAAGTTCCCTACAGAGAGAAATACCAGAAAGAAAGACAAGATTGTCTTGGCAGGATCCCCACATATATACACAGCCTCTCTAAAGGGTTGCAGAAAATTAGTAATTTTCTGGCTTCCAGGACAGTTCTGGAGATGGTGAGTTTGCCCATAGTCACACAGAGAAGGTTTTATATACCTGTCCCCAGCCAGGAGTGAGGGATCTTTTATTTTAAATTTGCAGTACTGGTCCATCCATGTACTCAGCACCTAGTGGCCACTGGATAAAGAGTTGAATTAAACCAATATCCCTGGATTTATTATTCTGATGTCTGTTGGGCATAAAATTTCAAAAAGTTGCAAATGGTTAAGATTTCATTCTTTATTATGGAAGCAATAATCCATTGTAGTATGTGCCACAGCTTTTTATCCATTCGTCTATGGCACTTGGGTTGCTTCCATATGATGGCTATTGTAAAATAACACAGTGAATATAGTGGTTCATATATTTTTTCAAATTAATGTTTTGAGTTTCTTCAGATATATACCCAGAAGTGGAATTCCTGGATCATAAGACAGTTCCATTTTTCATTTTTTGAGGGACCTCCATACTGTTTTCCATAGCTGCTGTACTAATTTACATTCCCAACATTTGCAACAACATGGATGAACCTAGAGGGCGGTATGCTAAGTGAAAAAGTCAGAGAAAGACAAATACCATATGATTTCCCTTATATGTGGAATCAAAAGAAGAAAATAAATGAATAAACAAAACAGAAACAGACATATAGATACAGAGAACAAACTGATGGCTGCCAGAGGGGAGGGGTTTGGGGAGGTGGGTGAAAGGGTGAAGGGATTAAGAAGTACAAATTGGTAGTTACAAAATAGTCATTGGGGATGTAAAGTTCAATATAGGGAATATAGTCAGTAATCCTATATAATAAAGAGCTAATATGCTAATTAGACCGAACAGCCATACGACCTTCCAGAGTCCAGGGGTCCTCAAACTACGGCCCGCGGGCCACTTTCGGCCCGCTGAAAACATTTATCCGGCCCGCTGGGTGTTTTTGCCGCCGCTGTGTGCATAGGAATTTGTTCATAGTTTTTTTTTTAAACTATAGTCCGGCCCTCCAACGGTCTGAGGGACACTGAACTGGCCCCCTGTTTAAAAAGTTTGAGGACCCCTGTTCCAGACGACCTTCTGGACGAAGCCAGGGCTGCAAGGGCTGAGCCCCTTGCACAAATTTCGTGCATCGGGCCTCTAGTATTATAATAACTATGTATGGTGCCAAGTGGGTACTACCAGAGAATATCTTTGTAAATTGTATAACTGTCTAACCACTATACTGTACATCTGAAACTAATATAAAATATTGAATGTCAACTGTAAAAGAAAGTTTTAAATAATAAAAATAAATAAATTTGCACCACTGGAAGCTGTCAGAGTAGAAACAGCCCTGGGCATGAGTTCAAGTCCCTCTGCTGCTAATTACCAGCCATATTATCTTGGATGAGTCACAGAAGAGTCTGTTTCCTCTTCCGTAAACTAGTCATACACTAACTGCCTCCAAAGGTGTTAAAAATAATGTAACAACTAACATTTATTAACTGCCTACCACCTGGCTATTATCTATTCAATCCTCATGAAACAGCCCCAAGTCACATATTACCCTCATTTTACTTATACTATAGGAATGAGATAACATCTTTAAAACTCAGCACCTAGTGGCCACTGGATAAAGAGTTGAATTAGACCAATATCCCTATGTCTACCATTGTATAGATGCTACTACTTTGTCATAAACTGGTGGAAAAAGAAGATTGAGAACTTTATGCTGAATATGAATGATTCATTCCAGCCTACTGAAGTCATATCCATGTTGAATGAAAGTTTTTATAGAGAAAGTGGAAGGAACCTGGCCAGTGTGGCTCAGTGGTTGAGCAGCAACCTATGAACCAGGAGGTCACAGTTCGATTCCCAGTCAGGGCATATGCCTGGGTTGTGGGCTCAATGCCCAGTGTAGGGCATGCAGGAAGCAGCCCATCAATGATTCTCTCTCATCGTTGATGTTTCTATCTCTCCCTCTCCCTTCCTCTCTAAAATCAATATGAATATATTTTAAATAAATAAATAGAAAGTGGAAGAACTACATCTCCAAGTGTTTGAAGTTGAGGCCTATGGAACTCCTAAAAACCATGGCAATGGCAGTCAGTCCACAGAGGGGTTGAAAGCAATGACCCAGTTTCAGCAGAACAATATCATCCATCTCATTAAGTTATTTTAATTTTATTGGTGTTATGGTTGGTGTCTTTATACTTAAACCACCCCTTTATTTGGAGTTTATAGGACTCTAAATATGAGCTTAGAAAGAGTTATGTCTGGTTTTACTATTTGTATATTTAAGCAATGTTGTGATAAAAACAATATTAACACTGTGGGTTCATGAAAGTCCTCCCCACCCTCCCCCCCCCCCCTTTAAGGATATAACAAAGTTTGAGAAATACCATGTGACACACTTAAGGTGCTATTTTAGGATGGCTGTCATCAGGAACTGAAGGGGGGAGAATGCTAAAAAGACCCTCACCTCAGGCTGCCACTTGGGGTTCGGGTCTTTAGGTTTTAGGACATGTAATGCCCCAGGGGCATTTGCCAGCTCCTCCCCTGGCAGGGGCTCAAAAATGCCTCACCCACAGGTCAGTGAGTGTCCTTAGGCTGTGTGGGGTGGGCTAAAGGCAGGGGAATGGAGAAAATCAAGTTTGGGAAATGGAGGAAGCAAAAAGGAGGCATGGGGAAGTCAGCCCCATTGTCCAGTCCTCCAAGAAGCTACCCCCAGAGAATGCTGGATTTGAAATGCAGAGACTTAGGGTTTAAGCCCCATCCTTTTTTTTTTTTAAATCCTCACCCAAGGATATGTTTCTTTGTTGATTTTTTTAGAGAAAGAGGAAGGGAGAGAGAGAAAAACATTGATGGGAGAAATGTAGATCAGTTGCCTCCAGTACCCACAAGCTAGGTATGTGCCCTGGCAGGGAATTGAACCCGCAACATTATGGGTGTACAGGACAATGCTCCAACCAACTGAACCACCAGGCCAGGGCCAATAAGACCATCATTTTTAACCTCTCCACCAGGCTGGTACCTTCCTGGCCTGCTCACTTCTGAACTCTGCGAAGGGAAAAACATTCCCTTTAGCCTAAAGTAATCTCAAAATCTAATTATTTCTGACACTACCTGCCTTAGGCAATCCAATGGGAGAGTTCCAAAACCTTGCAACTATTTCTCCTTGGGTGTGCGGGAAGGTGGGAAGAGGGCTGGCTTCAGCAGAGGTTAAACAGAGAGACCTGACTTTTCCAGCAAGTAAGTCACCTGGTCCTAGAGTGGCTTAGCCCGTCCCTCCAGCAATGATAAAGAACACCTGAGGCTTCACTACAGGTGAAGCAAGGGAAGCTGCTGTATCGCCCACGGTTTAAACTGGGGAGTTGATGTTTCCCAAAGACACCTCTTCAAGAGGATGGGAGGGCTGCAGCCTTTGCCTGCCCTGGATGAGGGGCCTATGGGAGAAGCCCGAGCCAGTCTGCAGTGGACCCTCACCCTAGCGCCTGCCAGGATGCTTCTTGACGTCACTGTCTTTGGGGGCGGGCTGAGGCACTTTTGCCTTCCTGAACTCCTTCCTCCATTACTAAAAAACTAAAACTAAGATGTATCCAGGCACACCTAGGAGATATGCCGGATTGGGCTCCAGACCAGCACAGTAAAGCAAGTATCACAATAAAGCCAGTCCTGCTGGTGGAGGGTCTTGCCTTCAACTTATAGAAAATGCAACATCTGCAAAGCTCAGTAAATGCCCCCCAAAAGGTAAGCCTGTATTTTACAACTGCATTGCTATAAAGACGATATAGTAAAAAGTTTTTCTTTGATCGGAGTTCTCTTTTTGCTTCTGATTAAAGAAATGAAAATTTTTGTGGGCCCCGAAAAATACGGTGGGCTGTGGTCACTGACCACTCTCCCGAATCCAGCTGGCCCTGGTCAGTGAGCGCTAAGGGCAGAGGGAGGTGCAGGCGACGTGGGGTGGCCTTCTCCCTCCCCCCACAGCCAAGGGGTGTGCCAGGCTCAAAATGGGGGGGGTCCCTCCTCACCAACCTAGGGTAGGCCTGGGCAGGGGACAGACTTCCCACCTGCTGCAGCCCTGAGGTGGAGCCGGGAGCCCTGCTTAACCTCGGGGCCCCCTCCCCGGACCTACTGCACCCAGGCGTAGGCGTGGACGGGGCGGACTTACTTGCGTTCCACTGACCATGAGCCCGGCCATGGCGACGGGGCGCACGACCCAAGCGCAGAGCTGGGAGCACAGAGCGTGGCGGCGGCTGCGGCGCGGGCGGCTTTTAGTTCCGCCCTGGAGGTCAGCTGACCTGCGGAAGCCCGAGGCGCGGGCCGAGCGGACCCGGCTCAGCTGCGGGCCGGCCGGCGCCAGGTGCGCCTCCACCACCCGCCGCGCGCGCCGCAACAGGTGGCCCGAAGGGCCGTTCCCCGCGCCCCCCCGGAAGGCCCGGCGTGACCGCGTGACTTCCCCGTGCCCACGGCTCCCCGGGACCCTATCGCCCCAGGAGGGGGTCAGGGGAATAGGAATAGCGTCCCCTAAAACTCCATGCCCAGAGCTGTACTGCGTTAGTAGTGTCAGCTTGGGACACCCCCACCCCAATCTGGGCCGTTAGTTGGGGGAGATGGGGGGGGGGGCGGAGTGCGTCAAGCCTGGCCTTTCTAGTATTTCACAATCGGGATTACGTAACTGTCTTCAACTGCAGGGAGGAGAGGCCTCTTGGCTGGAAGTCCCCTCCCCAACTTTTGAGAGGAAGAGGCAGTGGGGAGGTGGAAAGGACACCTGGTGGGTGGGTTTCATTTGTGAGGGAGGAGGGGGAACTGAATTTCCCTATAAATAAAGTGTTGGTTCAGCTAATAGCATCCCTGTTGGCAGCCGTAAATAAGCCCTGGGAGAGAGCTGAATGATCTGCCCAAATTTCAGGCGTCTCTTTTTCTCTTCCTCTCCACAGAGTAAAGGTATTTGTGAGGTTCAAAGTTATCCCTGAGGTCAGACCATCACCACACGTTGCCCTCACCTGGATGAGGGAGGATGGCCATTACTGCCTCCTCTCTGGGTGAAGCCAGGCCTGGTAAGCAGGTACTGGAAGCTCTTGCCTATCCTCAACTGAAAGAATCCACATTTCCCATTTACCTTCACACCTCCATCCCCAGGATACACAAAGCTATTACCAGATACCAATTTGTTGTCTTGTTATCACTTGTCCCCTGTTTCAGCCAAGAGCTGCCCCTGCCTTCACCCTGCTCGCTTCATACCCGTGGGAATAGGCCCCACTCAAATCGAGAAAGGAAATCTGAGTCCTGACTTGCCAGACACCAGGTCTCACAGGCATCACAGGCCTGTGTGTGATTGTGGCTCCCCACCTCTGCCCAGGTGTGTTCACAGGGCTTTGCATTGTCCTGTGTGTCCAAACAGCACCTAGGAACTCCTGGTTGTACAGCTGAGGATGATAATTACGATCGTGGTTAAGCATTTTGTGGCTCTCATCACGGTCTCTCAGGCCTGGTGCCAATGCATTGTAATGGGAGCCTTCATTGTCAGCAGCCTGATGAGTGATGTTGACCTCTGAGGGCTGACCCACCTGCCCCTCTCTCTGCTGGGAGGAAGGGACACAGCAAAGCGAGGCTGTAAGAACATAGACCTGGCTGTGTTTACTCTGGGGCTTTCCAGGAAATGCTGCAACAAAAGGTCCTGCAGGCCAAAAAAGAAAGCTTGCCCTCCAGACAAAAGGGGATCATAGGGAATCGTTATAGGCCTACAGCCCCACCAGTTCCTCAGGCTCCTCCCTCCTTCTCTGCTGGATGTACCCTCTCTGGTCCATTGTCCATTTTTGTCTGCATTTCCTTCCTGAAAAGGAGGAAGTGGACCCAGTCACTGTTGGTCATGATACTCTGCCCTCCCCAGACACCTTTCACCTTGACCTTCCTAGCAGGGCTTTGGCCAGCAGGAGAGAGAAACCTACTCAAAGATGAAATTGGAAACACCCCTCCCCCCCAGGAGGAGGATGCTCAAGGCCATCTCATCCATGCCCCTGCCTCCATACACAGCTATGTCTTCAGAACATAGACTGTTCTGCAGACTTTATCAATAACGCCAAAGTGGGCTGGAATCCTTCCCCCCTTTCCAAACCCCTTCACTACTGATCATTCTAAAGGCCTAAACTTTTCAATGGCTCCTGAATAAGTAATAACAGTCCAAAATTTCTGGTATGTCCCTCAAGATATTTTATCATTCCAACAACCCTTACCTCTCCTGCCTCTTCTCCTATATCTCACATCGTCTGCTTATTTTTTAGTTGTTAGGTTTGCCTAGAATAACTCTGGACCCACTCTTGTCTCCACTATGTGAACATACCAGGAAGGCCAGTTGACTGTAAAGGGAGAGATAATTGGGGAAATCAAAAATAAATACAGTTCAGAATAGCTCAGATTAAGGTGGGCTTTGGTGTTTGAAATGTAAGCGGAAGACAATAGGGAGCTATTGAACATTCTTGAGCAGAGTAGAAATTTGCTGAATGTAGTAGGGGAGAACTCCTCTAGAAACAGATTGGACCAACCTCTCCTTACTCCCCCTCAGCTGTTGGAGGTTTGTGTTCAGAACATAACAACAGGAAAAGAAGGAAGAGTTGGCAGGTGAGGGGGGAGGGGGGAGGGGGGAGAGAAAAGGAGAAAGAGAAAAAGGATCTGTATCTCTAGACCAAGGAAGATGAGAAGAAAGAGGTCAGGAACACCCTTCTACTTCATCACCTTCTTGAACAAAAGGAAAATTAAATAGAAATAGCAAAAGGTAAACCTCTTCATGCAACATGGACCTCCCTTCGGGAGAGGAGAGAGTAAAGGAATGCTGAGATAGGGCTGGCCCAGGTGGTAGGCAAATAATTCCTTTGGAATACAAGGACCCTTCAAGAGCAAACAGAGAAGGTAAGTCTTGCTGGAGCTTCTCCCTGAACACACCTCTTTCTGCCCCTGCCCCAGGAGCACTGAGGGAGAGGAAAGGCATCTGTCGTCACCTGGGTTCTTCCTCAGTCCCTGCATCCCATTCCATGGCCAATTGAAAGTCAGCTGTAGGCACCTCCTGCCTCAGCCCATTTTATTCCACAGCCCTGAGCCCCGCTTCCAAAGCCCAGGCACTGTGCTAGGCACAGTGGGTACACATGACGAAGACATACCCTTCAGGAGAGATTTGTGCTCAGACATTTACAGTACTAAGTTGACGAGAAGCACTGTAATTGTGATCCTCTTTTCTGAATCCAAAATTGAGAGATGTAGCCTAATTTGTACAGTGCCCTGATGATGATCACAGAATAGAAGGTTCAAATCAGGTCTGAACCGGAAATCCTGGGTCTATGAATTCTGGAACTCTTAACACATGCATATGGAGAGTGATAAGGTCCAACACACACGACTGGACATTTCCTTATCGCCCTGGATGAAGAGGGCAATATTTTATTCCCACTGTCATCTTTGTTATTACTATTATTATTATTCTTTGGCAGAAGAGGCCCTTTCCCCTGGAGTCCTTCCTCCATCACATTCCTAGGGACAAAAAGGAAGATCCTGTTTACTTCCAATCAAGGGAGTTGATTCTGGGGTTGGCCAGAACCAAACGAAACAGGAACTGATTCCTTAAATCTTCCAGCTTGATGCATCAGCCTCTGAGAGAAGGCAGGGCCAGTTAACAAAGTTTTATTAGCATTCCTACCTATCCTTAGCCGAATTTCTGTTCAACCTGGCCTCATTTCTTTCAGACTTACCTCCTGCACAGATTAAGATAGTTGCTATAATTAATCATGCCCCAGTCCCTAGTTCAGACTCACCACATTCAGATTTCAATTTAAAAAAAAAAAAAGCTGGATGTCTGCATACAAAATGCTCTTTGTTGCTGAGGCAGCCTCCTTTCAGCCTAAAGGAGGGAGTTCAGAAAGTGAAGGAAAGAGAAAAGGTTTCCAGGCCCTCTCTGCAAAATTTGCACATACGTGTAGGGATTGAGGATGATCTATGCTCCCAATCAGAACAAATTAAATGTTAAAAAATAAATATTAAGTGCAATCATGTCTGGCATCAGTAATCATTGCACAAATGTTAGATTATTGTTATTATTTATTATTATAATAACTATTACTACTATTATCATTAATTCTCAGTGCCTCTGACTTCCCTCCTTTTGGGATCTTTAAAGATTCTGTTGTTGTCTCTATTAAAATGCAAACGTTAGCAAAGAGTGGGAGGGAGTAGGTTTGGGAAGGTGAGTGGGAAACCACTTCTGTGAAGGGAGGAGATTGGGATGGAAGGAGCAAGAAGAAAAGAATTTACCACTGAAACTGCTATCTGCCAATCTCTTAGCATTATCTTCACAAATCTCCAAAACAGCACTGAGAAACAAATCTTACTTCCCAATTTGCTTAGAACTTGTCCAATACTCCAGGCCTTAGCTGAGCGCAGGAGGGAAGTCATCTCTGACTTGAGGAGAGGGGCTCACATTGGACCTTAGAGAGGGAACGAAATACTGACCAGAGGAGCCTGCTCAGCTGTATATTGTTCAGTGAGGGGGGAGGAGGAGAGGGAGAGGAGCGATGATATCTAAGCCCCAAGTACCTTCCGAAATCCCAACTTGACATGGAGAAGTCCACTTACAGGCTGAGGAACCTCCCCCACCTCAATTAAAATATATGGAAATGAGATTCTGAGTCAGTAGGTGGTGCCCTGTTAACTATGTTTTTCTCAAGTACCCGCAGTAATTTGGAATTGTGATCTGCAAATTCACTGCATTAGAAACCATCTACTCCAACTACTGATTGTGCAAACAGAGACCTAGAGAGTCACCCCGCAAATGAGCAGCTGATCCAAAGCCAGAACTCTGATCTGAAAAAAATAAAACAGGACTCCTCCTACTTCCCAGTGAGAACAGGGTGAAGAGACTGGGGAGGAGGAGCGCCATTTCACATCTAATCGCTTCTTGTCACGTTTTACCCATTTTCCTCATATGGAGCCCCACGCTGATGGATCAGAAATAACATTTTCAAAGTTATATCTGCAAGGAAATGGCTATTAATGTTCTTCCTCTCCTTTTAGAGCGCTGAGGAATACATATTAATTTTCTCTCTACTTATATTGCCTATTTGCAAATTGTATTCACTACCCAGTGCTCCAATTTGTCCTACCCCTGAAGAGATTATGATGAATAAATGTGTTCCTGGAAATAAAATAAAATAAAAAATTTGTCACTGAGATTTATTTTTATAATTATTTACAGGAATT